ATTGTCAGCATCAGCATCATCATCAGTATCATCATCAGCATCGTCATCAACATCATCATCATCATCATCATCATCATCATCATCATCATCATCATCATCATCAACATCATCAGCATCATCATCAGCATCATCAGCAGCATCATCACCACCATCATCATCATCACCATCATCACCATCATCAGCATCATCATCAGCATCAGCATCATCATCCTCATCCTCATCTGCATCATCATCATCCTCATCATCATCAGCATCAACAGCATCATCATCATCATCATCATCATCATCATCATCATCATCGTCATCATCGTCATCATCATCAGCATCATCATCATCACCAGTCGCATCATCACCAACATCAGCATCGTCAACATCGTCATCATCACAACAATCAGCATCAACATCATCAGCATCATCATCATCAGCATCAGCATCATCAGCATCAGCATCATCATCATCTTTCGTGTCCTCATCATAATCCACCTCCACATCCCCATCCTCATCCTCGTCCCCATTATCATCATCATCCTCATCCTCATCCTTATCCTCATCCTCCGCAGCCTCCCGATCCTCCTCATCGTCTTCCTCCTCCCCACCCTCTCCAGCATCATCCCCATTGTCATCCTCATATTCCTCATCCGCCTCCTTCTCCTCATCCTCCTCCTCATTCTCCTCCTCCTCCGCCTCCTCCCCCGCCTTCGCCTCCGCCTCCACCTCCACCTCCTCCTCCTCCTCCTCGTCCTCCTCCTCCTCCTCCACCCCTCCCTCCTCCTCCTCCTCATCATCATCCTCCGCCTGCTCCTCATCCCCCTCCTCTTCTTCAACGTGTTAGTATTATTCGTATGAGTCTTACTATTCTTCATATGCTTAGTATTATTCGCATTATCAATCGTATTATTAGTATTCACATGTTCCTTCGTTGCGTAGCATTGTTCTCTTTATTATCAGTAATATGCTTCTTAGTATTCTTAAGTTGAGCCGTACAAGTATTCATAGTGACAGTATGATTAAATATTATGCTTAGTACTATCAATAGTTACATTAGCATTCGTATTATTATTGTGCGCAGTATTCTTCAGTACTCTTCGTATTAGTATGATTCGCAGTCGTCTGTTTGCTAATGAGCTGTATACTATGATTATTCGCTGTAGTCGTGCCTTCTTGTTATTCCTCCTCCTCCTTCTCTTCCTCCTTCTCCTCCTCCTCTTCCTCCTCCTCATCCTCTTCCTCCTCCTCCTCTTCCTTGACAATCCTCGATTCTGATTATTTCCCCCCCAATCCTCTCGATCCTCTTGATCCTCGATCCCACGGCGTGGCTCTGCGCGAGCAGGCGACTTCTCGTCCTCGCCCAAGCTACGCGTACATGTCGTTTGAAGTGGCGTGCCCGCGCGGGCGCGGCGCATGTTCCTTCCGCCGAATCGCATGACAGCGGCACCGGCAGCAGAGCCGCGCGACAGCGGCCGAAATGCTGGCCTCGCCCAACCAAGCGCGGCGCAGTTTGCCCGTGAAAGCGGCAGTGCTGTGTCGGTCGGTTCGGCGCATGCTTTGTGTTCACCAGCTCATCGGCCAGCCATTGCCAGGGGCACGGCTGCTAAAAAAGGCGTGGAAACGTGCCCACAACAGAACGGTTATGGATTCCCCTTCCAAAATGAAGCAAAAACTCAACCACTCCCGGAAAGGGGTCGGAAAAATGGCATGCGCCACCCCCTTTCCCAAAATACGCGTCGAAATTTACCAAGAATGTGCGGTTTCGTTGGTTTGGCCGGAGACATCCCGCGAAAAATGACACACGGCACCCCCGCCCCAAAATGATTCATCTCGGCGGCGCATGTTTCGTAGCCTTGCCCCCAAGAGTGCGGCTCCTGTAGCTTTCCCGTCGCCAAGTCGTCAGGAGCGGGGCCGCGAGCGAGCGCCGTCCGTCCACGAGGTGGCAACGCGTTCCAACCCTCGCGCCAAACTGTGCCACAACCGGCGGGTGGAAATGGGCGGGGCCCGCTGACTCGCTCGACCTGGCTAACGTTACGCCCTCTCCCACTCCCTCTCCCTCCTCTGGCTCCCCCCCTCCCCCATCCCCCCCCCCTCCTACTCCTCCCCTCCCCCCCCCCGCACACCTCTCCTGCTGCTTTTCCCCTCCTGATGCAAGGAGGCCCCAAGCCAGGTGGGCGCATACACTGGTCATGGGCTGAGCATGGGCCTGACCAGGATCGGTGCAAGTGCGTAGCAGGCGCCTCCCGACCTGCCCCCTTCTCACCTCCCCCCTCCCTTCCCAAGAGGCCCAAAAGGTCCCCCGAGGCAAGTGTAAAAAAAACTCACTCCTCGACCATCGACCCCTGCGGTTTCATACACTCCACGCGCCCCAGACCACCGGCATTGCCAGCATCAGGAGCGCCACTCCAGCGAGACGCCTTTGGTACGACTGCCCGCGGCTGGCATTCGTAGGCATTGCGGCCCCAGCGATGGTTGAATGCCAGCGGTACCCCCACTAGAGCCCAACGACTCTCAGTCCTGAAGCCTTCGAGGACACCACAGGAAGCCTGAACGCGCCTGGCCTCAACCATCTCTTGCTCATGCTTGGACCACTGCTTTCCTCCTCCCCCCCTGTTCCTCCTCCTCCTCCTTCTCCTCCTCCCTCCTCCTCCTGCTTCTCAGTACCATTGGCATTACCAATATCATTACCATGATCATTCTCAGTATCGCCACTAGTATTAGCATCAGTAATAGTTGTGTTGGTTTTACTATGAATGTGTATGTGTAGTAATAGTAGTTAGTGTTGTGGCTACTGTGATTAGTAGTATCATTACTACGAGTATTAGCACGATTAATCGTATTCGCAGCGCTGCTACTACTACACCCACTACTACTAATATTACTACTACTACTACTACTACTACTACTACTACTACTACTACTACTACTACTACTACTACTACGACTACTACTACTACTACTACTACTACTACTACTACTACTACTACTACTACTACTACTACTACTACTACTACTACTACTACTACTACTACTACTACTACTACTACTACTACTACTACTACTACTACTACTACTACTACTACTACTACTACTATACTACTACTACTACTACTACTACTACTACTACTACTACTACTACTACTACTACTACTACTACGACTACTACTACTACTACGACTACTACTACTACTACTACCACTACTACTGCTACTACTACAACTACTACTACCAATAATAATACAAATACTAATACTACTGCTACTACGACTACTACTACTACTACTACTACTACTACTACTACTACTACTACTACTACGACCACTACTGCGACTACTACTACTACTATTACTACTACTACTACTACCACTATTTCTACTTCTACTTCTACTTCTACGTTTAGTGCAGTTTTTTATTTCTACTACTACTATTGCTACTCGGACCAGCTACGCCTATCACTACTAATAATAGTACCTGTAGTCGTAGTAGTAATGACAGTAGTAGTCGTAATCGTAGTAAGACGTGTGTCTTCCCAATATACCTGACAACTCTTTTTGACAAATAACGGAAGCATTCGCATCACAATAACTAACATGGCATTGCAAGTGTGAGCACGAGTGTAAGTGCTGGCATCATGGCCATTATTCACCATCATTAATCAACAACACATCATCCCCCGGTTCCTCCTCCTCATAATCATGTTCATCATTTTCAGTAGAATATTCAGCAGCATCAGCATCATCCTCATCCTCATCATCCTCATCATCCTCATCATCATCGTCAGCGTCATCGCCATCACCATCATCATCATCATCATCAGCAACAGCAGCATCTGCATCATCAACATCATCATCGTCATCATCTGCATCATCATCAGCAAAAGCATCACCGTCATAATCATCATCGTAAACACCAGCACCATCATCAGCAGCATTAGCATCAGCATCATCATCATCATCATCAGCATCAGCATCACCATCAGCATCGCCATCAACATCCACAGCTTCACCTCATACCGCATATCCTCCTCATAATCACCCCACCCATGGTCATAATTGCCATCACCGCCGTCTCATGAATATCATCATCACCGCCGTCGTCAGCACCAGCATCGTCACCATCAGCAGCAGAATCGTCAGCATAACCATCACGAACCTTTATCATGCGCCTGGTTCCGGGCCCAGCATCTCCACCTGCGCCCCCGTTCGCCACCACGTTCTGCTCCTGCTGCTGCTCCTGCTCATGTGTCCACCCCCGTTGCCCGACCCATCCTGTATCAGTATCCACGCCATGCGTATTCCCCTTTCACATTGCGTATTCCTCAACCTCCGCCTCCTCATTCTTCCTGATCCTCCACCCCCTCACCGTCATCACCAAAATCATAGAATCATAAGATGCCTCGTCGTCCCCCGTCTGTCCGCCCTCCACCTCATACCACAGCGCCTCATCATCACCACCCCCACCATCATCATGGTCATCAACATCGGAAGCATCAGTACATCCTAATCGTGAGCATCGTCAGCACCATCATCATCAGCAGCAGCCGCATCAGCATCAGCGTCAGCATCACCATCGCCACCATTGGAATAAGCATCATCATCGACAACCTCATGATCAGAGCCATCATCAATCTCATCATCATCAGTGACATCATCCCCACCATCCTCATCATCCTCATCATCCCCATCAGCCTCATCATGCCCATCATCCTCATCATCCTCATCCAGCCCACCCTCCCTCATCATCATCATCATCATCATCATCATCATCATCATCATCATTCTCCTCCTCCTCCTCATCATCACCGTCATCCTCATCCGTCTCCCCATCTCATCCTCATCCTCATCGTCGTCGTCGAAATGGTCGTCGTCGTTCTCATCGCCATCGCCATCGCTACCGCTATCTCGTCGTCATCAGACTCATCCGCATCAGCATGATCGTTATGAACCCGTATCCTGCTCATGGTGCCTCCCTCCGCCTCTCCGCCTGCCCCCTCCTCCACAACCTCCTGCTCCTGCTGGGGATGCGTTCCTCGACGGTTCTCCAGCCCCCCCCCCCCGCCCAAAGAACAACACTTCCCCATTCCCCACCCCTTCCCCCCCCCCCCACACACACACGCACACCTTCGCCTCCTCCTCCTCCTCCTCGTTGTTCGTTTCCTCTTCCTCTGATGTTTCTTATTATCTATGTTTTACTGGTGGTAAGATTAGAAATTCGTAGAAGTCTTACCATTATGTTTACCACTATTGTTAGTAGGATTGTTCTTATTACCATTAGTTTGATTATTCACAGTATTACTGCTATTTCGGTTAAGGCTAACATTAGTTTGAATAACGAATACCAGCATTAGTACTACTCTTGCATATTGTCACTATTTTCTTTAAACTATGTTTACTATGAATGTTAGTATGATCATTGATATGGTTAATATGTTTACTCTTATTGATAGTATCATTCTTAGTCATAGTATCATTAGTCCAATGCGCCTTCTTATTCGTATGTGTAATTCCAGGCATTAGTATTATGATTGGCGTTATTGTTCATATTATTCGTTAGTATGCTTATGATGCTTCTTCATAGTATTCGTGCTCGTCGCATAGTCATTGTTATGCTTCTTGTGGTGCAGCTTGTTATTATTCATACTCGTCTTCGTCTTCCTGTGATTCGAATTATTACGTTTCTTCCTCCTCCTCGTCCTCCTCCTCCTCCGTCCCTCTGTTTCCCTTTCCCGCCAAGCCCCACCCCTCCCCATCCCCTCCCCTCCCCTCCCCTCCCTCCGTCCCTCCGGTCCTCCGTCCCTTCCTCCTTCCCCCCCTCCCTCCTCCATCCTTCCTCCTGCATCCTTCTTCCTCCTCCTCCTCCTCCTCCTCCTCCTTCTCCCCCTCCTCATCGTATTCCCTGTCCTCCTCTTCCTCCTCGTCCTATCCATCCTCCTCTGCCACCTTTCCCTGCTCCTCCTCGTCCTCCTCCTCCTCCTCCGCCTCCTGTTCCTCCCCCTCCTCCTCCTCTTCTTCCTCCGCTTCCTCCTCCTCCCTCCTCCTCCTCCTCCTCTCCTCCTCCTCCTCCTCCTCCCTCCTCCTCCTCCTCCTCTCCTCCTCCTCCTCCTCCCTCCTCCTCCTCCTCTCCTCCTCCTCCTCCTCATCATCATCATCATCATCCTCATCCTCATCCTCATCCTCATCCTCCTCCTCCTCCTCCTCCTCCTCCTCTCCCCCTCCTCATCGTATTCCCTGTCCTCCTCTTCCTCCTCGTCCTATCCATCCTCCTCTGCCACCTTTCCCTGCTCCTCCTCGTCCTCCTCATCCTCCTCCTCCTCCGCCTCCGTTCCTCCCCCTCCTCCTCCTCTCCTTCCTCCGCTTCCCTCCTCCTCCTCCTCCTCCCTCCTCCTCCCCTCCTCCTCCCCCTCCTCCTCCTCCTCCTCCTCCTCCTCCTCCTCCTCCTCCTCCTCCTCCCTCCCTCCTCCCTCATCTCCATCCTCTCCTCATCCTCATCCTCATCCTCATCCCTCCTCCTCCTCCTCCTCCTCCTCCTCCTCATCCTCCTCATCATCATCATCATTCATCATCATCATCATCATCATCATCATCATCATCATCATCATCATCATCGTCATCGTCATCGTCATCATCATCAGCATCATCATCATCATCATCGTCATCATCATCATCATCATCCACCACCATCAGCATCATCATCATCATCATCATCATCACCATAATCATCATCAGCAGCATCATCATCAGCATCAGCATCAGCATCAGGATCAGGATCAGCATCAGCATCATCATCATCATCATCATCATCATCAGCAGCAGCATCATCAGCATCATCATCCTCATCATCCTTATCATCGTCATCGTCATCATCATCATCATCATCATCATCATCATCATCATCATCATCATCATCATCATCGTCATCGTCATCGTCATCGTCATCATCATCATCATCAGCTGCATCAGCATCATCAGCATCAGCATCATCATCAGCATCATTATCAACATCATCATCATCGTCATCATCATCCTCATCATCATCCTCATAATCCGCATCCTCATCATCAGCATCATCATAATCAGCATCATCACCAGCATCATCATCAGCATCATCATCAACAACATCATCATCATCAGCATCATCATCGTCATCCTCATCATCATCAGCATCGTCATCATCATCATCATCATCATCAACAGCATCATCATTATCATCATCCTCAACAGCATCATCATCATCATCAGCATCATCATCAGCATCATCCTCAGAATCATCATTATCAGCATCATCATTATCATCAGCATCATCATCATGTTCCTCCTCCTCCTCCTCCTCCTCCCCCTCCTCCTCGTTTTCCTCCTCCACCTCCTCCTCATGTTCATCTTCCTCCTTTTTCCGCCTCCTCCTCCTCCCCGTCAGCCATTGCCCGACTGGAGGATTTCCAGGTGCCAGGAGATTTCTCGCGTCGCAGGGCGCGGCAAACTTGGCAGTGGCACCGCCGCCCCGAGCACCCAGATG